TTCATGTATCACAAGCATGCTTTCCTTGATTGTCTGTTTTTCAGATAAAATAATCTGTTCCTTAATTTGAATATGCGTAAGAAGCCCTTTGTACCTACACAAATTTTGGGTTCATTTGTATGGGTCTTTCATATAGTTGATACTTTTGAATATGAAGTTAACAAAACTAAAAGCAGCATTTATATTGTTAATTAATCATACTTTTGGTAACTGCTGCATGTGAAAGAAGGCAGTATTTCAAGGCCTCCTGGATAACACTTAGATTCTATACAGTTATATAGAGAGTTAAAATAATAAATTCAATTATATTCATATAGACAGTTTAGAGCAAGCTGAAAGAGGTTTTGCCCACAAGAAAACTTGTGTAGTGAAGGCTTTGCTTACTAAATTTAATTTGCTTTTTTGTGATGCTGAGGTTTATATAATAATCACAAGAACAGCTGGTGGGTTTTACAAGAAACTCTGCAAACCAAGGAAAATAAAATAAAAACAGCTTATAATTTAATACGTGAAATAGTTATGTGAGGAATATGAAAGAGAAAAACAAGTCAAATACGGGGGGAGATGTGGTGGTGGGTATGTTATTCTTTTTATCCTATAATAAACCTTGGTGTGCATGGGAATAGAAAGTAGGCCTTGACCCTAGAGAACTTGACTTTGCATCTTTACTGAGAAGTGGCTGGATTTTATCTTAGCAATGCTATGTAAACCCAGATGGATTAAAGTTACAGCAGAGTATTCTGTATGCCACCCCTAATTTGTAGTTTTTGCTGCTTACTTAGGAAAAAATATTTTCTCTCAGTAGATCCACATAAAATAAAGAAAATCAGGTTAGTTAGTATCTTAGTGCTAAAAAAGAGATCACTAACACAGCATTTATGGATTCAGATTAAAGGGAAGGCAGGGACAGGTGATAGGACAGTGGGGCTCTGCTACAGGCCCTGATCAGGAGGACAGTATAGACAAGGCACTCTACAGACAGATAGGAGCAGCTTCCTGTTTACAAGCCATGGTACGCATGGGGGACTCTGTTGGAAGGACAGCTCCGCAAAGGACAAACAATCTGGGAGGTTCCTAGAGTGTGTAGGTGAAAACTTCCTTTTCCAAGTAATCAAGGAACCAACAAGGAGAGGTGCTGTGCTGAATCTTGTTCTTACCAATGAGGAAGGGCTGGTGGAGTGATGCTAAGCTCAAGGGCAAACCTGGTAGTAGTAACCATGAAATGGTGGAGTTCAAGATCCTCAGGGCAGCAAGGAGGGCTCACAGTAAGCTTGTTACCCTTGACTACAGGAGGGCAGATTTCATTCTGTTCAGGGATCTGCTCAAGAGAGTGTCATGGGATAACATCCTGGAGGGAAGAGAGGCCCATGAAAGCTGGCTGATATTTAAGGATCACCTTCTCTAGGCTGAAGAGCAATGCATCTCAACTGAGAAAATTCAGGTAAAAACTACAGGAGACTGAAGTCATAAGGTCATAGCTAACTGGCTACAATTTCAGGAGCTGCTGAAATCACACATGAAATGAATGAATGTTGCAGTTCATTTCAATATCGGGCCTGTTTGATTGTGTCAAATGTGCAATAATTCCACCAATTCTCCTCGTTCAGTCTAAACCAAGAAATGAACTAGTGTTATAACTGGATATTACCTAGAGCAGTGCAGCATATCAACAAACGCCATAACATTTTTATTGAGTTTATTGGACTTTTTGGTTCTTTTTAACAATGTGTTTAATCTGTGCTAATATTTTTGAGAGTTACTGAGGTCAAGTTCTGCAACTGAGACAGCATTGCTGCCATTTAACTCAGGCTCTTTTTTTAAAATTGTAGTTTCTCCCTTCAGTATCTCTGCCTGCCTTGAAATTTGGTAGCACAGTTTCCTTCCCCGCACTTCTCAATCTACCTCAAGATCCATTTGTTGTTCTACCTTTCTCCTACCTGTCATCCTCTCAGGCTTCTCTGATAGGGTGGTGGGAGAAAGCAATTCATTAAATTTATTCTTCCAAGCTGCTTTTGAGCTTTTTGAAAACACAAGAAAGGCAAATTCAGTGTTAATTCTGGTGCCTGGACCCAGATCCCCAAGCAACAGTGGAGGGCTGGGGCCGTAGCCCTTCCCTACAAAATGCCACAGAGGATGATGCACTTACAAGACCAGACCTGGATTTAGAAATCTGATGTGTGTCTGCTGTTCTTGTAGGCAGTTTCTTAGGTGAATACACAGATGTGAATTCATGTAACCAGCATCTGTGTCATTGACATTGTCTAAGATTTTATTCAGGAATAAGAGAATTTTGAATTATTACTGTCCATGTATGAAACAAAAAAAGGCAAAAAAAAGGCCTTCTTTAAATGATGCTTTGTTAAAAAGTGTCCTAACAATTATGTGTCATTATCTATAAAGTCTTGGGAGTGAGCATTTCTGCTCCCCATTTGACAGACTGCTGAATCATCATCAACTTTTCTTCATTTCTTCTTGACTGAGCACCTGCAAATGCTCTGATTTGCATTTTGACTGTAAAGAGCCTTTGTGATATTTTTACAAGGATGGTCCTGGATACTGTAAACTTGCTTTGTAGTTTGTTTATCTGGGAGGAAAAAGAACTAATCAGTCTTTTTGTCAAACTTCTCCTGGCAGCCTGGAAGGATAGCTACAGCAAGTGCTTTAGTAAAACAATGTCAAGTGATTGATGTGTAAAATAGGATAATTCATGTGTTAGACTTAAAGAGTTATAAATGAACAAAGGATGGAGAAGGAATTATGTGAGGAAAAGAATGTTCACTGACCTTATGTATCTCTGAAATTTATTCACACTTACTTTCAGAAAGTCTTATTTTTCCAGAACCCGTTATTTGGTAAGCTGCATGGAGGGGAAAAAAGCATACAGCATTTGAAAGGGCACTTCACCCATGTTGTGATTGCTCTGTTTTAACAAGCAGACAAACAAGATGGTTAATACATGAATCAAAAAGAATAAAGCATAAAGCTAGATGTTGTATCCTAGACAGATGAAACAAGATTAAAATAGAGACATAGTGATTCCTCTTTGATTTAAGTGTCTTGCACCATAAGATAACTCATCTGATTTTGCTTAATTATTTTAGGATTATTTTAGGATAAACAATAAGTAATTTTGCCACTGATTTTTTTTAAAAAAACAAAACAGGAAAAGTAATATTCTCTACCATGCTGGTGTCTCCAGGAAATGCAGTTTGTACTCTCTGCTTAATCCCTATGGACACATAGACTATATTCTTACATAGGTTTGGTTTAATGCTCTCTGAAATGTCAGTAAGTGGAATGGCTTTTTCCATTGTCTTCAGCAGCCTCAGATTAGAGCTGACTCTGGGCCTCTGGACCTTTGAGAGAGCAAGTTCTGCTTTCCAAAAGAGGCTTGTAATTTTTTTGACACATGAAAATTTATGTGAAGGCCATTTCTTAGTTAAATATTGGACCTGAAATATCTGAAACACTGTACAGAATAAACCAGGTAATTGTTATGACTCTATCCAAACATTTATTTTTAGAAAAGAG